TAGAAGACAGGGTAGAAAAAAATCACTCAATGAGTGATCCAAAAAGAAAAAACCATTTAAAAACAGAAGGACAGTCTAAGGGAGCTCTGGGACAACATGAAACATAACAATATTCACATCATAGGAGTGCCAGAGGAGGTCAAAAGTAAGCAAGGGTTAGAGAACCTGTTTGAAGAAATAATGGCAGAGCCTGGCCGGGCGTGGCTCAGCGGTTGAGCGTCGACCTGGGATCCAGGCGATCAGGGTTCGATTCCAAGTCAGGGCACATGCCCCGGTTGTGGGCTTGATCAGTGACTCTCTCATCATTGATGTTTCTATCTCTCTCTCTCCCTTTCCTTTCCTCTCTCTGAAATCAATAAAGATATATTTAAAAAAAAGAAATAATGGCAGAAAACTTCCCTAACCTGGTCAAGGAAAAAGTCACACAAGCTCAGGAGGCACAGTTCAAAGCAAGAAGAACCCAAAGAAGCCCATGCCCAGACACATCATAATTAAAACTGCAGAAATTAAAGACAGAGAGAATCTTAAAGGCAGCAAGAAAGAAGCAATCTGTTACTACAAAGGAGCTCTCCCATAAGGCTGTCGGCTGATTTCTCATCAGAAACTCACAGGCCAGAAGGGAATGGCATGAAGTATTCAAGGTAATAAAAAGCAAGGATCTGAAACCAAGACTAATCTATCCAGCAAGGCTATCATTCAAAATAGATGGTGGCCCGGCCAGGCGTGGCTCAACGGTTGAACATCAAACTAGAATCCAGGAGATCGGGGCTCGATTCCCGGTCAGGGCACATGCCCAGGTTGCAGGCTAGGAAGCTGATCAATGACTCTCTCATCATTGATGGTTCTATCTCTCTCTCTCCCCCTCCTTTCCTCTCTCTGAAATCAATAAAGATATGTCTGGAAAAAAAAAAATATATAGATGGTGAAATAAAGAGCTTCCCAGAAAAAAAAAAAAGGCTAAAGGAGTTTATCACCACAAAACCAGCACTGAAAGAAATGTTAAAGAGACTGCTATAATAAGCAGAGTAGAAAGAGAGAGAAACATAGGCATAAGGCAGGAGTGGGTGGGTGGGGAGAGATTAACCTAGGAACTTATATGCATAACCCAGGAACACAGACAATAGTGTGGTGAAGCCCTGGAGAGGGGGGATGCAGGGTGGAGGACATCAATGGGGCAAAAAGGGGATATTTGTAATACTTTCAACAATAAAGATAATTAAAACAACAAAAAGAATTAAAATGGCAACAGATAAGTATCTATCAATAATAACTTTAGATGTAAAAGGATTAAATGCTCTAAGCAATACAATCACAGTGGGGAACTTTAACACCCCACTGACTTCACTGGATAGAGCTTCCAGACAAAAAAATCAACAAGGAAACAGTGACTCTAAATGACACACTAGATCAGATGGATTTAACTGACATTCACAGAACATTTCACCCCAAAGCTTCAGAATATACATTCTTCTCAAGGGCACATGGGACATTCTCAAAGAAAGAACACAGGTTAGGACACAAAACAAGTCTCCACAAGTTCAAGAAGACTGAAATCATATCAAGCATCTTTTCAGACATTTACACCATGGAATACTACACAGCTGTAAAAAAGAAGGATCCCTTACCCTTTGAGACAGGATGGTGGGACCTGAGAGTAGTATCCTAAGTGAAATAAGCCAATCAGAGAAAGACAAGTATTACATGATCTTGCTCATTTGTGGAATCTAACGAACAAAATAAACAGATGAACAAAATAGATGCAGAAACATAGAAGCATGGAACAGACTAACGAATCTCAGAGGGAAGGCGGGAGTGGGTGGGTGGCTGGGGAGAGATTAACCTAAAAATTTATATGCACATGTGCATAACCCATGGTCACAGACAATAGTGTGATGAAGGCCTGGGGGGGAGGGGCATCTGTAATACTTTTAACAATAAAAATAAATTCAAACATTAAAAAAATAAAATAAAGAGAAGGAAAAACTGAAGAAGAAGAAAAAAGAATAAATCTCCAGAAATTGTCCCTAAAGAACTACAGATATCAGATGTACTAGACGAAGACTTTGAAACAATTGTCTCCAATATGCTCAAAGGAAAAAAGAACACTCACACAAAGAACTAAAGAAAATACGAAAAACAATATATGAATAAAATAAGAATATTAACAAAGAGATAGAAATTATATAAAGGAACCATCAAAAATTCTGGAGCTAAAAAAATTAACAACTGAATTGAAAAACTCACTAGAGGAGTTCAACAGCATATTTGAGCAAGTAGTAAAAATAATCAGTGAACCTGAAGACTGACCATTTGAAATTATCAAGTCTAAGGAGCAGAAAGGAAAAAGAAAGAAGTAAACTGACCCAGGAGACTTATAGGATACTATCAAGTGGACCAATATCACATGAAGTGAATCTCAGAAGGAAAAAAGTATAAGTGGTAAAAGATTATTTAAAGAAATAATGTTAAATACCCAAATTTGACAAAAGACTTGAATCTACAAATACAAAGGCTCAACTAACTCCAAGTAGAATAAACCCAAACAGACCCGCACCAAAGCACATAATCCAATGTCTGAAAGGCAAAGAAAGGAGAGACTTCTGAAAGCATCAGGGAAAGGGCTCACCACGTATAAGGAATCTCGATGAGGATATAAGTGGACTTCTCAGGCCTGAGCAGTAGATAAAGGTGGGATGTGACCACAAAAGGAAAGCATTAGGGGGTTTTTGCTGTGACCCTGTGTCCTGGGGTGTATCCTGTATTCTATTCTTTATCCTGACTGTGGCACTGGTTGAACAAATCTTACACCTGTTGTAACTCACTAAACAGTATACCAAATAAAAAGTCAATTTCACTCTCATAATTTTAAAAAATCTTTAAAAAGCTGATCATGTTGATGTTAAATGACAAAAATGCAAGATGTGATCACAAAAGGTAGGAAACTCTCTCAGAAATCCTCCTCCTCAGAATCACCTCCTCTGAATCCTTTTGTTGTTTTTGTGTTAAATCCATTTTGCCTATTTTGACTACTTTTTTTTAACATGCAATGACCTCCCTCCACCTTCCCCAATTACCTGTCAACAGTGAGGAAGTAGGTTTTAACTTGTTATAATTCTTCTGCCTTAACAAAAATAAAGTACCTTTTCTTATTAATGTCAAGTATAGCAATATACCTAAAAATTTTCTTCAGTTATTATAAATTATTATAAAACTGTGTGAATAAAACAGCTTTTTAGAATTTCTCATAATAGGTTTCAAACATAATTTATATGTATATATTCTGAAAATTATCTTAGATAAATATTGATCCCTAAAGTCATTATGTTTGGTCATTCCCAAAACCATATTTAATATTGGAAAGTGATTTACCAAAAAAGATTTCTGTATTCTAGACCTCCATTCTATTAAAAGTATTCTCCCATTAATATAGTAAGTCATAATTGATTCTAAATATTTCTTTGCTGAAATATCCATATAAAAATCAAAATGAAAAAACTTGAACAGACTAGGAACTGATTTCATATCAGCAGAGCTACCAAAGTAAATAAAGACTTCCCCATTAAGAAAGGCCTTTAAGAAAGAATTATGCCCATTCTCTCTCCTCTAACACATGTACATGACTTATTTTAATGTAGCAATGCCAAAAGAAGTATCATTGCCAGAAATTATACACAGGCCTAACAATAAGATTCTGATTAGTGTCACAAAATATCAAAATATGTATCAATTATAAACTTATATGAGTTGATCTGCAATTAGAGTCTCCAAATAGAGATCCTAGAATTTCATTGCGTAAATGAGTTCGTTAACTAGTACCCACTCATATATAAGTGAAATTATTTCAGCGTTAGAAAACTCAGCTGTTTTCTATCTATATGACCCCATTTATGTAGAAGGGTCCTCAAAAATTTATTCTCAAATGCACATTTAACTGGAAGGTTAAAAAGTAGGTAGAGCTGACATACTACCAATTTAAGTATGCTATTATGGAAATAACAGCACAGATTAATAAACTTAATTTTAAAATGCAACTAAGCTAGACTCAATCCAACCCATCCAACTACAATGTGTGTGTGTGTGGATATATACACACCAACAAACAGTATCATAGATAAACCAAATTGAAGAACCAGCTCAATAAAATGAGGCGGAGACCTCACCACTTAACAAGTGTAAGGGTGCATTTCAGGTAGCACCTCTCCACACCTGGCCTCCTCTTCTGTAAAATAAAAATATCACTTCTTCCAAACCAAAAAATCATGTTTAAAAATTGTTTTTATTTTTGCAAACAGATACTTCTCTTAGTTCAGTAAGTAGTAAGTAAATTCCTTATGTGTACTAAAGTATTAAAAGCAAAGGTAAGTGAACGAAAGAAACTACAACAAACCAACTATAAAATATAAAATGCCCTCAATTCTTTTTGTTGTTGTTGTTAATCCTCACCTGAGGATATTTTTTCCACTGATTTTCAGAGAGAGTGGAAGGGAAGGGGGAGGGACAGAGGGGGAGGGAGGGAAGAAGAGGGAGAGAGAGGGAGAGGGAGAAGGGGGGAGAGAGAGAGAGAGAGAGAAACGTTGATGTGAGAGAGACACATCCATTGGTTGCCTTCTGCACACACCCCAACTGGGGCTGGGGGGTGAACCTGCAACCCAGGTATGTGCCCTTGACCGGGAATCAAACCAGCTCTACCTCTGAGCAACACTGGACAGGGCTAAAATGCCCCCAATTCTTATGTCTTCCCAACAAAACCACATGTAATGACACATATGATGCAATTTCTAAAAACATGCTAATCTAAGTGCTAGTCCAACCCAGATGTGCCAGCATCCAGCTCACACTCCCACGTGCTGGTTTTTTCCAACTGCCTGTAATCAATAGAATCACAGAGCCTGGACTAGGAAGTCATGGAAGGTACTTTCAGTAACAAACAGCTGTCAGCTTGGCACCTGGTGACCCGATACACATCTAGCAAAGAAGCATCATTTATAATCAGTACATACGTCCTTTCCGGTGCTCGACTAAGCCCACAGCCTGCTTTGCTGAACACTTTGCAAACCAGTTATCCCCAAGTAAAACAGTGACTTCATTAGTATGGACAAGTTTTCCTGGCATGAAGGCAAAGGGGCCAAATGGTACCTATTTAAAAAATAATAATAATAGCATTAAGAACACTGAAAAATACATTTTATATAACACTTAGCATTAAAAGCTCTGCATTGAGACCTTTTTTATCTGTACACTAAGAAAAATAAAATGTCAACTTCACAGAAATTAAACATTAATTAAAGTTTCACTAGGAAAACCTACAGGAAATTGTTGTGGGTTAACAATCAACACCAGGGAAGGACAGCACGTTCACACAGCTCTCAGAGAAAGCAGCCTTGTCTCCTAATGTTTATACTTTTTGTTCACTCTTAAACCTAAATGAAAGCAAACTTGTAACAAAATATTAGCTAATAAAGACCTTTGATTAAAAAACCTGAAAATTACTTCCAATAAAATAGCCTTTTTTTTTTTCCAAAGCGGGAATGAATAAACAGCTTTAACAAGTCTACAAAACTTACAGGGTATCTGGGCCAGTGTAGCTGAGAACAAAGCCGCGTGAAAAAGAATACTCATGCAACGAAAGGGCCTACCCAGGCGACGATATCAATGTGAAGATCATTCAAGCAAAAATTGGCAGTACCTTTTTACATAAAATCCCATGTTCTAGGGTTTAATTCTGTGACTTACACAACATTATGGTCTATTCCCACTCTGGCTAACAGGAAACAACTAAACACCATATTTCTGTCATAATTACAGTTTTCTAACATAGTAAACCTGTATACCAAATATGTCAAAATTTGTGCTAAAACTTATGCCATTTTTGTCACCACAATGTGATAATTTAATATAAGTGTAAAAAGGGGAGAAAAAGTAAAGACTCACTATTATTATAGCTCAGGGGTGGGGAACGTCCAGCCCGAGGGCCATATACTACCAGCAAAATCATTTGGTCTGTCCCTGCCAAGGCACCCGCAAGTGGACTTGAAATTCAATAAATCTAGGAGCTTTTTTCGTAGCTGATTTTTTAAGTTGATAATTTTGTATGGCCCGAGAGTGATGTTATAAATATCTAAATGGCCTTTGGCAGAAAAAAGGTTCCCCACCCGTTATAACAGGTGTGTGATTGTGAAGCCAAAGAAACCAACCTTCCTTGCTATGGCAGTTGCCTCTGACACAGCTTAGCAATTTGTGAATTGATGCACAGAAGGTAAAGAAACATTTTATTACTTTATATCGGTAGTATCTTTACAAGAAACAACGTGCTCCTTTAGAGAAACACGCAGCAAGCCTACCATGATGCTGTAGGACAATTTATCGGGCAGAGTGCCGAGCCTCTCCTGAAGGGCACCGTAGTCGTCCTCCACCTTCCTCCTGTGGACAAAACACCAAACCCTAAGTGAACACACAACCTCACCCCTCCAGTGGGCTATGTACCACAACACAGGCTAACCAGAAACCTCAGTCTATCAATTTAAAGACAAATGTTTTTTAATTTAAAAATCCTGTTTTGACAAAGTTTAGCAATGACATTACTCAGGGACTTTGGCTTTTAGAAACAGAACACTCAGAGCTTGAGAACTAGTGTTTCCTGAAGAGGGAGATCATCACACTAAATAAAATTTGGAAACTAAGGGAGATAGTGAAGGAGGCCTGATGTTTGGGCAGAAACAGAAACTCAAGAGGAAGGAAGAAGAGATTTAGTGAAGCTTTTAGGTGAACAGGCACTGGCTGTGGAGTAGAAACTACGAGAACAGAATCCGATCAGATGTTTCAGAAAACTTTACACAGAAAAGCAGGGAGTCATCAGCCCTTCACAGAGTCATGCTAATGCGATCGAGACTACCAGGGGCTAGAACTTAGGCAAGGTAAACAAAAGGCATTTCGATTTGGCTCTGAAGTCTGTTTCATGTTCTATCAAAGCAGAGCTACCTAATCAATTAATTTCAAACAGCCAAGATGTAATTCTGTAGGAGCAGAGATAGTCACTGGTCTCCATGCTGTGACTCTCGCTCAGTTCCTACACCTACAGGGAATGAACAACCCTCACCGAGGCCTGCTCTCAACCCCTCTCCAGACATTAGGTTTCCTAAGGGTTCTCTGCTAGGGTGTCACAACTGCAGGCAAAGCCAGGGCACTAAAATTTTTTAAAGCAGAAGGGCTCTGTCAATTTTTAAAAATAACAAAAACGCACCAATTCAGCAAGTAACTTAAAAGAACACACAGATATTGTCAAATTGAAACAGGATAAATTGCAACATAGAAAATGGATCTCCAGATAATAAAACGGCTGCTCTACAAACATGGAATTGGGTAGAGTTTACTGCTTGGCTCCCCTAAAGCAACAGTAGCATAATTAATAAAATTATCTCCTTTAGTCTAAAGAATATGAAAGAATTTCACATATATGTTACTCATCCTAAAAACATTCCTGTAGTAAATGTCAAGTATCAACACTTTCCTCTTACAAAAGAGAAAGGGGGAGGATAGAAAAACACATTTGAGAGAAACCAGATCCCTCTGTCAGGGACATCTTTCTGAAACAGGCCTTTCTGAAAGACAGCATGGCGAAATGTGCCCACCCAGGGGCTTGGGGTCAGGGCTGCTGTGAGCAGTAAGTGGGACAGTTAGCGTCTGTGGGAACTGACTTGGTACACTGCCTGCACACAGTAGGTGCATGTTTTCGATAAGTAATTTTCCAAATGCTCCAGGGCTAATGTCCCTACAACTGTTCAAGGCTAGTGTTAAAGTCAGCGCTCAATGTAGCTTATCTTGGTAACTGCACCTGGGAAAGGCAGCTTCTTCACAAAACATGTCTAACGAAAGAGCGGCAGATTCAACCAGAGCCATACGAGAGACCACTGTCAGTGTTCCAAACCAAGGAGTCAGTTCCAAGTTACCAGTAGTTCTCTCTAGAACAAAAATGTGAATATACTGGAGGACAGTTTAAGACTGAAGTGGTGATTTCTAAATTTTGAATTGTTTTCTAAAAATAAAAATTTAAACGCAGCCATGCAGAAATCCCTTTTGAAAGGAGGCAAGCAGTCCTCTGGGAGAAATCATGGCTTAAGGATCTCTCTCTCCCTCCCTCTCCCCCTCCCCCTCTCTCTCTCTGAAGGCCCCACTGGTGGAAATATCCAAGATCAAACCCTCGGTCAGAGTCATCTCCAGTCTCTCTACTACTCAGGGCTTAAATAATCCCAGCGAAGATCACAAAGCCTTTGCAGCAAAAAGTGCAACACTGATTCCAAGAACTACTGTGATAGAAGGTAGGCAGGGAATCTTTTATCTGTGCCAAAATCTGAACGGGTTTTTTCTACTTCACTGCTTAGAAACATTTGGGGACACTGTAGTCATATTTAAATGTGTAGTCAAAAGAGGCAGCCACTTAAACGAATGTTTTTTCAAATGGAAAATAAAACCTAGCAAGGTGAGAGTGAACCTCCCAAACCTTACACTCTACAGACCTCCTTGACTGGCTTTACCATATCTGACCCTCACAGATGAGGTTCAGGCTTCAACTCTTCATTTAAAAAATTATCCAATCAAGAAGGTTTAATTTGCATCAGCTACCCTCTGGCAACGTTCCTCATGGAAAATGAGAACTAAAGCACTGCTGTGAGCATGTCAGAAACGTCTACAGTCTTGTGCTGAGTCCAGCTGACCACGTGCTATCGGCCTTCTGAGAAGCACGTTTGTCTTTAAAGTGAGCAGCGAGGGCGTAACAGGCCTACGCATCAGCCTTGACCCCAAGGATGAAGAGCAGGGCGGGTCCCCTGGGAAACGCCGACTTGCACCAAGTTGTAAAAGGTATGAGAGTATTACAGAAGCACACCGTCCACAAGCTGGCTGTGAAATGCATCAGAAAAAAACAGACTGATGGACTGCAGTGCGGATACACAGGTAAGTGATCATGGCTCACCTATGCAATTCCTTCAAACTTTTCTGTATGTTTGAAGATTTTCATAATAGGGTATGAAAAGGAGATGGTAGACTATGAGACAGACTCTATATTTAATCTTCTTCTTAAATGCAACTGACCAAAAAAACCTAATAACGAAAAAAATTCTGTATTCCTTGTTTGAGACGAGTGATAAAGACTCCAATTTCTTTTAAATAATAAAAAGTAGTTTTAAAAAATAAAAGTTCCTTTAAATAATTAAAGTAGCTTTAAATAATAAAAAGGAAAACTTAAAGCAATAATTGAAATAAGATTTCGCTAATTTTCACTTTAAAGCAGGAAGCTGAAACAGGCAGGAAATACTGACATTCCAGTGAACACACGAGTCCACATGCACCCATCACTGGGCTCAAGGGTGCTCAGCTCCCGGCTCCATCTCCAGCCACCGCATCTCAGTGCTGTCCTACCCTCTACCCCACCTCCAACGATTCCAAAGTGAATCCAACACATCGTTCCACCCGGAAATAGTTCAGTGTATATCTTTAAGATATAAAAGGCTCTATTAACTTTTTAAAATTTAAAATTCGGCAGTATATCAATGTAGTTCAGAATTTAAGAAGTTCAATGTGTAGCTTCTCTCCTCCCCTTTCCCCCCAATTCTTGGTTCTCTTCTTTGTAAAGAACTGTGTGTGTGTGTGTGTGTGTGTGTGTGTGTGTGTGTGTGTGTGTGTGTTTAGGGGGGTTAACGTATCTTTATTGATTTCAGAGAGAGGAAGGGAGAGAGAGAGAGAATCACCAATGATGAGGGAGTCATCGATTGGCTGCCTGCCCTGACCAAGAATCGAACCGCGATCTCCTGGGTCCTAGGTCGATGCTCAACCGCTGAGCCCCGCCAGCTGTGCGAAACAACTATTTTTTAACAGTTTGTAGCAAATCTTTTCAGGACCTGTTTGCAGAGGGGTGTGTGCGTGTGCACAGGTGTTCACCCACCTTCTCACACACTGCACTCCACCTTTCTGACAAGGAGTCAGACCGTGCACTTCATTTATCCCTTGGAGATTATTCTCAGCCTTTAGCTGTGATTCTTTATTTCAGTAACTCACTACACTACTCTGTCACCTTTTGTCTGAAATTCTCCATAATAATAAAAAGTTATTGTAAAACACTAACATAGTTTTAACAATACTGCTCAGAAAGCCGCCTCCCGCCTCACAGAAGACGACGGCATGAATGTGAATGTTCAGGCATATTTGCAAAGCTCTGGTGGGATCTTTGTTTTCCTTTATTCACCTGACAATTAAAATTTTCAACAAAGGTTTTGAGCTAATGTTAACAGGTACTGCTTGCCAGTCTGTGTGCTCCCCTTACACCCACTGCCTCACTTATCAAGTAGTATCACCACCGCTCTACAAAGAGAAAGCGAATCTTAGTGATGTAATTCACCCAAGTTAGTTAGAGAAGGACAGGACTCCTGTGTAAGTCTGTGACTCCGAATCCCATGATTTTTAGGAAGGAATTAAAAAAATAAAAAATTACCAATAATCTCCAAAAAGATAATCGGGCTCCTAGTGGATCAAACAATAGGGAGCATATCCACATTTTATTAAACAATGGTGCATGCATTTTGTAATACCTCACTTCCTGAGGAAAGGAAGGATTATAAGAAAAAAAAGTTACATTAAATTTTTTTTAATCTTCACTAAATTGTAAACTACTATTAGCTCTAAAAATGTTGCACAAATTTTCAACTATTAGGCTCAAACTTTTCCTTTTTATCTGCTGTTAACTAAAATACTATAAATACCTTTAGTTCACCAAAGTTTGGGATCTGAGTTAATTTCCTGGAAGAAGCCTGAGGGACAGACCCACTGCCCCAGCCCATTTTTGCTTCTGCTTTTCTACAAATATTTTTACTTCTTGTCCTACACTCTTTTTCAATTAAGATTATTTCTGAAGCCTAGAATATTCAAGGGACAAGCCTAGTTTGTCCCTTAAACGTGCACAAACTATCATGGGCATCAGAAGACATCACATGCATTTTCAAACATCACATACTTTGCTCCCCCTTCCCTGCATCGGCGTTGCCCACAGGGGTAGGTGTCAGCTGCGAGAACTGTATTTCAGAGGAGACCAAAGCCAAGGGTTAAGGAGAACCAAAAGCAGCTTCCATCTAAAAGCAGTATGGGAGGCGCTGAAGAGTGCCCCAGCCTGTGAGGCTTCCTGCCCCTCTGCACGCAGCACAAGACTGCTGTGACGTCCGCTGGGGTCCCAGGAGGAATTCCTCCAGGGCAGGTCTCTCAATCCCAAACAGCATCACACCGGCCTAGGAGAGGAGCCCAATCAACTGCTTGTGGAATTGAGGGAATGACAACACCAGGAGAATTCCAAAATGCTCCCAAAGAGCAACCCCTGGCTATCAAAAGAACAGAGACACTTTGGTTCCAGGTTTTTCATATGATAAATTAGTGACTTCACTGGCCACAGAGATTCTAGCAGCATCAGATCCTCATTAAAAACCAGACAGTAAAGTCTGTTTACTGAGCCATATTAGGAATGACTCAGAGGAAAACACGATGTTAACTGGAAGATATCATTTAGGTTTCTAATGCATGGATAAGGTACCCTCTCACTGTAAGATGCACAGACACACGCCAAGCTTCTCTAGTTTGGAGGGCTTTGTCAGACTGGAAACTGAGGCTGAGTCACACGAACCTGCCCTGAAGTAGATGTCATATTCCATCTGTCAGTGCTCACGAGACTGGGCACTGCTTGTACGTGCAACTAGTACTATGTACAAAATAACTGTGTGCAGTCTTCATTCACTCTGACACTTACGTCCTATAACATGCCAACACCAAGGAGGTGTCATGCAGAAGAGGAGGAGCACTGCCCCTCGCCCTAAAGAATCCTCCATCTAAGGGGAAAGAACCTCACAAAGCAAAGCAGCAGCAAGTTGTGATTCACACACTGCTGTAAATTAGTATCTGTTCTCACTGAATCCGACCCTTTGCTAATTTCCTGATTTCCTTACCAAAACCAAGAGAGAGAGAAGCCAACATTAATAAACTTTCTCTAGGAATCATTTGTAAAACAGTTCACTTTGACCAAATTAGCGGGGGTGGGAGGTGGGGGGAGTAATTCTTTGGCCGAGGACTTGCATTCTGAGCTTTAACCTGAATGGGATGTATAATGAAAGCGAATGGTCCACCACAGAAATCCTGACAGACCTACTCCACCATGGATGTAGCTACAACAGTGCATTTATTGGAAGTTAATGAAGTTGCTGGATTTTTACTTACAAAGTGGATCTTATGAGTCTTAGCCGATTTTCTGGGGGCAGCAGTCAGAACACAGACCGCACTGACTCCCACTGCCTGCAGCCCACATGCACGTGAACCAAACAACATGCGATACACACTAACTATGAATTATTTCTTTGGAGATATCTCAGGCATGAAGAAAAAGCCTCTTAAGGTAAATTTAAAATATTATATGTTTGATAGTGTCTAGGCGAAGGTTTCGTCTCTGCACTTAGCAGCTACCAGGCTCCTGCAATAACCCAGCAGACAATAACCAGGACAGGCGGCCTGCTGTTCTTTCAGTAACATGTCTGCGCACACAGCATGGATACACTGTGATTTCATATCTGTGAGATCAACAGCTGGGCTGCACGACGCCCGTGAAACTGAGTGTTCTCCTCAGAAGACAGAAGAGGACTGTGACGTACCAAGCATTGTCTATTAACTAAAGATCAGCACGCCAGCCAGATGTGATGGATACGCCTGCTTTCCCCTGCACTTGAGAAAGGTCAGTCCACAAGCAAGCTCTGAGATGTGGGCAGTTACTTAGATGTTCAAACTTCAGGGAAACATGCATATTTCCACCATTATTTTAAAACCACTGATCCAACTATTATTTAGTATAAATATAAGAAATATTCCCAAATAGGACTATGATTAGTCTAGTTCAAAAATGTCTGTCTCCGCTTTATAATAATATTAATATTATTCTAACTTTTAAAAAAGGAAAGAAGAAAAGAAGGTAATGAGAATAAACACAAATGGTGATACAACTTCAGGAAATCATGGAACACGTAAATCAGTAAGTGGTGACAGACAATATAAATCAGCGACAAAAGCATTCAAAATGGAGAGTTCTAGAAGAATTCAATTACAGGTTAGCAAAAAGCAGTACACACTTTATTTAAATACAAGTGGGTGACCCAACAGTGTTTCAGAAACATGATAAAAGCATCGTTCACTCACCAGTGCTGGATCCTCTCTCGGCAGCTAGTGACCACCTGTCATGGAAACAGATAACTATTCATGAAAAACAGGCCTGTGCACAGAGCTACAAAATCAGCGCGTCAGAACACTAAAGCGGTGGCTTTACAGATTCCACAGCATCCCAGTCCACATTTTTATTTGTCACATGCACAGAGATGTGAGTGTTAGTTTCTAAGCAGCACACTTTATCATACGCCTCTAATGCGGGCTGATAACCGCAGAACAAATTACAGCTCTCCGACTCATACTTGGTGCAAAACCCCCTTCATAACTATTAGATGACACATGATATAAGATAACT